CACTTGAACAGGTCTACTATTCCTTCCAGGAGAGGGCAATAGTACATGCACAGGAGGGAAAATAGATATATGAAAGTAGCATTTTATTTTTTACCCAGTTATGGCAGAAACAACGTTCACAAGAAGTTTCAGGGTAGAGTATTCAAATGAAAACCATTCATTGGATGTATCGAATGGTTGTAATATAAAATAGACATTCTGTACTCTGTTATCTGATTACCAGGCTGTACAGAGCTCTGTAAATATGGAAACAATGAAACCGGACACAAATAGGAAAAAGATCAACAGTAGGAGGAGGGAGAAAATATTTTTCTCTTTTAGGAAATTCCCTAAGTAATTAATAACTCCTCTTAGTCTTACAGTATAGTTTCATACTAATTTAACAAAAAATTCTAAGTTTAAACACTTCATTTGTTAAAATAAATTAATTTTGGTAAATTTTTAGTGAGAACCCAGAGTGTTGACTTGCAATTTTTTTACAAATTAAAAAAAAAATTATGGCAGTAAAAAAGTATGATTTTCTCAACCTCATGTCTAAAAAAAGTGAACAGATTTTACCCAACTTCAAAAACAAAAAATCACTTTTGGAGCAAAGCCAATGAGAATTTCAGCCAAAAAATACTTCCAAAAAAGTTATGAGCAGTGAAAACATGGGTTTATAATAGAAGACTAGACAGAACTGTAACTAGTGCTATTAAGCAAATTATATTTAATACAGCTGGTTGGAAAATTGAACTATTTTTCATGAAAATTTGTCAAAAATGTTTCTAACCATCTCTAACTTATAGCAGTATTAGTACTGACACTACTGTTGAGAATGCACCTATTCTTATCCATTCCTCACTTTTAAATAGCTCAGACCATCCTGAAAAAGTGTATTTTGCTGAAACTTCATATACTTCATCTCAGTGTGTATGGATATAAAAAAAATTCTACTAAGTATGGATATAGTGTGTGTGTTGGGGTTGGGGAAGATACATTCATAAGTTCTGTGCATCCATGTACTTTAAAAAATGTAACAAGTTTACTTACCGACAAAACAAAAAATTGTTTGATAAGCTGGAGAAAAGTCAGATTAATGCAGACAAAAAACACGTTTTTTTTTTATAATGTTCTCCCACTACACCCATTTTTTTTATGCTGGTGCTGAACATAATGATGCAAGCAACTAAGTGTAATTGTACAAAATTATTGCTAGTGATTTGCATATGAAATACACACCTTTTACTGCCTCTAGTTGGCATTGTTTAACTAGATTATAAATAGTACAGCTGAAATGCTGCAAACAGAAAACAGTTTATGTTGGGCACATGCTATGAATGAAGAAATGCTCAGACACAATGTGAAAGTTGGAGAGCTTTCATCAAAACGAGCCAAGATTGGAAATGGTTCATTTCCTAATCATGCACTTGCTTTGCAGAAGCCAGTCTACAGAAAATCTCATAAGTAAAGCTCTCTAAAACACAGATATTCATGCCACCATGTGAGTACGGCTCACCCTCCTTGCTATCCCTAATTGTTTTGGATTTTTTTGCTAATTAGTCCTATGTATATGACAGCATCCAGTACATGCGTTTAATTAAATCTGAATATCTCATCTGGAGTATTTTGCCACAAGATGCCAAAAGAAACAACCATCTAGTTGTAAAATATTGTATTCAGGATTTGAAAAGGAATGAGACACACAAGGTAGGTGAGGTAATACCTTTTATTGGATCAACTTCTGTTAGTGGAAGAGAAGTTTTTGAATTTCACAGAGCTCTTCTTCTGACCTGAAGTCAAGGAGCTCCGTGAAGCATGAAAGCTTGTCCTAAACTTTTGTACTGGAAACCAAACTACATTTTTGTTTTAAAAAAGGGCTATATTTGAGAAATTAAGTTTATTAAAATTATTACTGGAGCACTTCCCCCATCACTCTATTTATTAACTAAGGGCCACAATCCCCTAAAATATATTGAAAAATAGTTCGTTCACTGTATGGTAACTGCAGCAATTTCATCATGCAAATAGAGTTGTACTTTAAAATAATGGTCCACACATTTCTCCTTCTGATTGTTCTATTTTCCCAGAATTAGCTAAATACTAAGGTGGCATGCTGCCTCTGGTTCTGTTTTGAAGAAGGAGAGAGAAAAGGTAAGTCTGTTTCTCTTTTTATCTCCATAGTTAAACTCTAATAAAGAACGTTCTGAAGATGGTTACACAGGAAATGAAGGAATACAAATCTCCATTTAAAACAGGTAGGGGAGAGAAGGAATCTCCTACACTTGGGGGACCCAAAGCATTCCTCTGGCTAATAGAGAAGATGTCATTGATTTCTGAAGCAAGTTTAAGGGAGTTCTGGGCAGAGTCAGGCAAAACCACAAATGCTTGAAGAGACAAGACAGGGATGGTATGAAGCCTCAATTTCTTAATTGTGTCACAAACTTTTTTTTTTATAATTTAAAGTCTATGGTCTAATTAGGTTTTATCTAGTTCATCTATCATAGGTTATTTCTAAGGGAGTTACCAAAGTGGGATCAACATTCTAGAGGAAAAGGTTATTCAGAAAACAAGGATGTTACAGTACCAAGTTTATTCTGAAGGAGAAATCCATGACCCCTGGCACCCTTAAATAGCTAATACAATTTATGGAATGGGTTAGGAAAGGATATTGTGAGAGTCTGGTGAAAAGACTGTCAGAGCTAACTACTTCTTGAAATACTTCTTCCTTTGAACTGCTTGTTGACAGAGACTGCGCAGGTCTTGGCTGTGTATTTCATTACACACTGTAAAGAAGTATCTGGAAGCTTCTGAAGAGTACAATGGGCTCAAAACCTCACTTTTCTCTGAGGTCAGGGCTGATGAGAGGAGGGGAAGGAGGGACAACTGAAGGGGCCCTGAGCTCAGTGGGGTCCCCAAAACAAATGTAACATCTGTGCAAATAAAGTGAAATGGGAGGGATTGGGGCCCCCAATGAACATGATGTACCCCCAAGTTTCTCTCAATAGGTCTGTCTGAAGTTCTACTAGTTGATGAGCAGCAATAGCAACCAGTGATCTGACCCAGTAGTGTCCTTCTTGGCAAATCTGTTGACAGCACAATTACAGGCCACAGCCCTTTTGCATCTGTGAAAAGGAAACACAATCTGCTCACAGAAAGAAAAAATGGAGGGACTATCACAGAGCAAGTCCTGCCCTGTCTAACATTTGGTCTAAGTTTAAAAGGGGGAAGATGACCTTTTATTTTATTTATTAAAAAAAACAAACCCCAAAAACTGGAGTACCATGTGCTCCACTCATTCCGCCTAACTTTAGGCACTGGTTGATCAAAGGTGTGTTCAGTGCAAACAGGCCCAATCAGCTTAGAACCACTGGAAATCCTTCATGTGAAGTGGAAGGGAAAATAATTAGGAGAAGACTACCCTCTCCCCAACAACAGCTAGAGGGAGATTCCCCACTCCAACATCCTTCTCATAAGGCTGGGGAAGAGAAAGAGTTCACTGCTCGCCCTCCCTCAGTCGCCAGGATGGGAGCAGTGGGGGAGGAGGATGGTCTCCCAGCCTCCCCAAAGAAGTGCCATTTTATGGTTCCATAACTTGCCAATTGTATAGCAACTTCCATCCAATGATCACAAACATTAAAGAACTGATCTTCACAGCCGTGCAATAGGTAGCTGTCCCCATTTTACAGGTGGAGAAACAGACCTAGAAGTTAACTGGCTTGCACTAGGTTGCACAGCAAATCTGTGGCACAGCCAGCTTAACCACTGAGACCATGCTTCTTGCAGGGGCACAAGTTAGTGTAAAGAGTGTAGTTTGTTGAGACACAATAATGTGGCTTAGCTATGGTTTTGTGCCTAACTGTAAGGTGGCACCTGCAATATAGTAGTTAGGGTATAACTCAGGAAGGGTGACAGAGGTATCAACTAAAGTGAAGTACTTCTGTCATGAGCCACTGATGCTGTCACTTGCTGAAGACTAGGAAAAGAAGACAAAAACAGAGGCAGCCTAATTGCTATGCCAGAATATGAGAATGGGGAAAGAAGACAATATATAAAGGGCTTATGTCTCTAGCTTTACCCTTTATTTTTGGTTTCATAACAAATGGTCATTCTAAACTGCTCTGACATTAGTTCTGTCTCTCTTCTTTGTCTGGGAGCATAGCATAAGGAATGCTTAATTGTTTTTATTTCTTATACAGCACCCAAAATATACTACAGTTTCACGTTGCTCTGCACTGATCACTCTATCTGGTTCAGGAGTGATGCTGACTAGAACTGTGGAGGAAGCTACACTTCTCCAACCCTCCTCAGCCAAAGGATGATGCTTATAACACATGGCCTTCAGGATGTTGTTGGGCAGAACAGGGGAAGGGTGTTGAAGGGAAAAAACTGATGAGCCTTCATGGCCCACAAAATGTGGGGAAGAAGATATCAGAAACAGAAATATGTATTTCTAATTGTGCAGAAAGAATGATAATTCTCAACAGTGACTGTTAGCTAAATGACGATGTTGGCACAAGAACAAGTGGATATAAACTGGCCATGAATAAAATTTAGACTGGAGATTAGAAGAAAGTTTCTAATTATCAAAGGAACGATGTTCTGGAATAGACTTTAAATAGGAGTAGTGAAGGCAAACAACCTAATTAGCTTTAAAATGGAACTTGAAAAATTTATGAAAAGGATTATATGACTGGATTGCCTGTGAAAGGGATCTTGACTCGATGACCAAGAGGTTATCACTTCCAGTCCTATAGTTCATATGTTTTGCCTGTAGGGTTCAGTGTAGGGTATCCCGGAAGGATCCAAAACAACAACAAAATCATGCTTTCAGTTAGTTACTGGAAAATATCATAGATCTATATTATGAAGGCATTAGTATGAGATTGTTCATTTCCACCAATTCAACCAATGAAATTACCTGTCTACAATATCACTACTATTTGGTTTTGCTTATTTGTTTTCCATAAGAGATGTTGATAAAAGTTGTACTTTCAGGAAAAGAAACATATGCCCCGTACTGTAATATGCTGCCTGTTTCTTCCATGCTACTGAGTGTCGTCAGTGGAAATCAAAGGGTGTTGAAAGGACTCAGGATGTCTCTGGAGTCCCTCAGCTTCCTGCAGGATCAGACCCTGAATTACCATGAAGTGTGTTTGAATTAAAAAAAAAAAAAAAGTAGGTTCATGGTAAGGAGAAAGCAACAGATGGCTCTTACAAAATGTAATGTTTTAGGACTAAGTCTGATTTATACACAGTTGAATAGAATTACTAAATTAACTGAACTTTAGTAAGGTACTAAAAGCTTTTAAGCATAAAAATAAAATGCTCTAAGAATTCAGTTTACTGTCAAAGGCATTGAAACTGCACTTGTATAAATCTGAGGAAGTACATCAATGTCGCAAGTACACTGGGTGCATATATATATATATATATATATATAGACAATGCTTTAACAGATGTAGCTTTATATTTTCTTTCAGCTGAATGCAACATGCTGGTCCATGATTAAAAAAAAAGCTGTGACACCTTACTTTTTTTTTTGGTTAGGAGGAGGAGGAGGAGTAAAATTTAACAGAAATAACTCCACTTAATGTTTGAGTGAGCGATGTAATGAAATCTGTTTGCTGTGCTAGCTGTCTCCAGATTGGGCTGTAATTACACCACAGAAGGAAGAAAGGTAGCTGAGTCTCAATCTAGATCATTTATGTAAACTCAGCCTTCTTGTCAACGAAGTTCTCAGATTGCATGCATGCAAACCACAAAAATCATCTCCTATGAACAAACTAGAGACAGTGTCAAATTGCAGACTTCTGATATACCTTATATTCTTTCTGTAACTGGATTTAAAATCCGACACACTAAGGTTAAAAAAAACTTCTCATGTACTATATATTTATTCAGAAGAGTAAAAAATCTGTGCTAACAGAAGACTATTCCACACTCCTTTCTGCCAAAAGATTGATGCTGAACATTACAAATTCACATTTATTTGACTTAAGTGAAAACAAGTGTCACATAAATCTGGGAAATTATTTAGGGTAAGATTGCATTGAAACAAATTGCTTGATCTGGGGGAAAGATTTTTTTCCTGAAAGCGTTGAAAACCTCATCTTTGAGCCAGAGCAAAGTATTTTATACAGACAGTATAAAAACACAGGCAATCAATTCTCTTAACAGAGCCAAATTAATATTTGATTAAGTATTTTAAAGCTCCTACTTACCACGCTTGACACATATTCTCAGCAAGTTTCTCAAATACTGAAATCATTAGGCACAGAGTAATTTTACATTTGAATACATAAAAACAGTGTGAGGAGACATAACTGCATGTAGACAGATAAAGGATTTTTCCTCATTAATTCACTGAACTGCCCTTCGTGTTGATAAATTGGCACATTAATTTTTGACTTAAACAGCCCTCTCTCTGGCAATTTTAGAAAGTGTTTCTCCTGACACCTGCAGCTTCAGGCCCCCCTCTGTCCTCTCTAGTGCAGGAAAACCACAGGCCACCACATTGGCGCCATCCCTGGCTATGTCCAATCAATAAGGACTTATTTCCTGTCCATTTGCTGAGGTCACAGAAGTGAGTCTCATTAATTATTTCTACTGGTGCAGCCTCAAGTATGCTTCTGGCATGACAAGTGAAAACTGTTTGACCTTTTTCCCCTAATTTTGTTTATAGCAGTTCCAAAGAATGCATGTTCATTCAGCAATGCGGTAAACGACCAAAAAAAAAAAGAAAAGAAAAAAAGGCAACTAACAAATTTAGTTCTTTTAAAAATACAGGATATTTTTTCCCTTGTCCCAGCCACTATCCATCTAGTTTTCTGCAAATGAACAACAGTTTATTTTTTGAATTATATCTCATGAAAATCTGGTCACAGCATAAACCATGTTTTCTAAAGCAGATCTGGCCTCAGAGGGAGGGAAGCACTCCAGGGCCTCCAGTGCTCTGTTTCCATGGTAATGACATAGGTCAATAGCTGAAGTCACACCTTTGCCAGCCTTGATTGCTTCTTGCAACTGTTAGAAAACACATGCATAATAAAATCAGTTTTGACTATACTCTGTATACAATTATTTCTAAGATAACAGTAAGAATTCAGTATTTCCATTACCTTTTCTTGAGGTAAACAGGGCAGCTAAAATCAAATCACTCAGAAAGCTCTCATTCTATTTGCAAATATTAAGCTGCTCTACTTCAGCTCCTAACTACAATAAAACCCCAATCAATTTAAACTACACCACTACTTCTTGATAATTCAAAATACTAAGCCTTACAAGCATGCATGCAACAAAGATGGGAGGTTTTTACATATCTGGACCTTTCCCTAACCAGATAATTTTTGTATAGTATACTAAGCCAACATGTCAACCAAGCACTTATTTTCTTGTACGCCGTCTGTGGGTATCACGGGTCCAAATGGATTTATAAATACACATTTTCATATTTCATATATATTATATAAATATTAAATACATAATATATTTTATAAATACATATTTTCATAGTTCATAAATATATAATTCCAGATTTCTTGTAAGCAGACTAAGGAGGATCTGCACACTCATGTCTCCATCTTTTATATCATTTATTAATATTGCTGTGTTTGCTCATTATAGGTTTACATTTGTTATAGTGGACAACAGCAAATTACCTCAGTAAAATACAACTTAAACCCAAGTCTGCCATGCAAACTCAATGCACTCAGTAGGGATGGTAACTTTGAGGATGAAATACGGCTCCAATTTGCATCATATTAAATAGGAAAATGTTTCCATGGGATAATAGACATTTTCTGGCAAACTGCTGGAGAGAAGTGCAAAACTTGAGTAGAATGTCGGGCAACATCTGTATGCTTTTTATGAGACTTTAAATTTTGTTGAAGTTCTTTAAAGTGGTCTTATGTTAACATGTATTTAAAATTGTTTTTATGATGAAGAGCATCCTGAGAGCGTCACCAGAAAGAGGTGAAACTATATTTATACAAATTTTTATTGTTTGATTGCCTTTAATATGTAGCCTTCACAGCAATCCCAATCCAACAGCTAGATGAGTGAAAGGACAGGAATCAAACCCAGGTGTCTTATCTATTTGTCTTGGGGTATGTCTACACTGCAATTAGTCACCTGCAGCTGGCCCGTGCCAGCTGACGCAGGCTGATGGGCTATTTAACTGTGGTGTAGACATTCAGGCTCGGGCTGCAGACCAAGCTCTGGGACCCTCCCACCTTGCAGGGTCCTCCAGCCTGGGCTTCAGCCCAACCCTGAAGGTCTTTACAGCAATTAAACAGCCCCTTCGCCCGAGTCAGCTGCGTGTCTAATTGCAGTAGACGAACCCTTAGGTATTGATATGGCCCCCATCCCTGCAGTATCTGAGCGCTTCACAATCTTTAATGTATTCTACACGGTTTAATGGTAGTGTCTCATTGTCATTGAATCAACCTATCAAATACAGATCTTTTATTAAATACATATCAATATTGTATCTAAAATTATTATGGAAAATAAATCTTTTAAAGGAATTTTTACTGCAATATATTACAGTACTCATCTCCACAAATCACTTCTATTCAATATTACTTATACCAATATAACATTAACATATCTAGTTTAAATGATATGGAAATATTTGAAGACCAGAACTGTAAGTCATCCATTTTATATAGGTAGTTGTATTTATATATAATGATTGACTTTTCTTATCTAAATACGTACTAAATTGGATTCATTGCATGTATTTGAGAATGAAATCAGTTGAAAGCATATTACAATATTTTAGTGTTCAAATCCCAATTCATAAAAAATGTATTCCCCACTTAAGTTAGAGTTTTCATGTACTGTGCTTTGGAGGAGTACTTCTCCTGAAGCAGAAGTGCACTGTACAGTTTATTCAACACCTTTTCCAATATGTGTAAATCATCCACATATCCACGGTCATGAAGGATGGATGGAGTCTCTAGTGAGAAAGAGTAATTTTAACTGGAGAGAAGGGTTCTTTGGTTGACCCAGCTTATCAGTAGGTGTTAGAAGCTCATCAACACTATTAGGTATTAGGGATGCAGAAGGAGATTGCTGGCAACAGTGGACCAGAAAGAAGAAATCCTGGAGGGAAACTTTAGGGACAGTCAAGCTCAGAGAGGAAGCTTAGTTTGAGGTTTACATTCTATTATTGGTTTTCAGGTACTAATAAAGCCAAACCCCAGAAAGAGGGAGAGTTTGGAAACTAACATAGGGTCTGCACGTTATTAAAGGCAGAGTGAGAATTCAACCCATTCAAAGGCATGCCATGTATAACTACTTAAATGTGTATGGTACCTTGCGACCAAAAGCATCCCAAGCTTATTACAAACTACTCACATAAGAATTACCATACCAGGTCAGACCCATCCACTACGAGATGCTTCAGAAGGTGAAAGAAACCCCAAATAGGGTAATAACAGCATAACCAGCTCATTGGGGAAGTTTTTTCTTAACCCCATCAGTTATTTGGCTCATGCCCTGAAAGATGAAGGCTTATAGTCCTTAAGAACTTTTAAAAATTCTTAGTGATATTTGTTATCCATATAAATGCTAATCTCTGGCCTCAACAGTGTCTTGCAGCAAGGAGTTCCAACTTCCCTTTATCAGTTTTAAATTTAATGTCTTTCAATTGTGTATTATGAGAAAATAGGAGTTTCCGATATTATGAGACAGGATAAATAGAAGTGGCCAATTTTCCTTCTGTATGCTATTCATTATTTTGTAAAAAGCAACAAAGAGTCCTGTGTCACCTTATAGACTAACAGATGTATTGGAGCATAAGCTTTCATGGGTGAATACCCACTTCGTCAGACACATGACTTTTGTATTATTTTGTATGCTTTTATATGCATTATTTTGTATGCTTCTATCATGTTCCCTCTCATTAACTTCCTCTCCAAATTAAAAATACAAATCTTTGTCATCTTTCTTTATATGGAATATTTTTCATCTCTATTCATAGGATCACTTCACTCACCACTGAAAAACAGGAATCTTTGCAGTGATATTCAACACTGTAAGAGCACACGGCACAACCAAACATTGAACTACAGAATAGGACTGGAAGTGAATATTGTATCCACTGCATTAAAACTACTGGGGAAACTTTAGATATACAAAATGCAATTACCCAAACTGGATATTGCCCAGGCATTGGGGCTAATGCCCCTACTCTACTCTTCCAAGAGGTGCCACAAGAGCTTTAAGATCACAAACAGAAGGGATCCCACCTTTAAATCTCATCCAAAAGACAGCTCAGTGCTCCAGAACACCATGTTAGGATACTGGTTTAAAACAGATTTGAAGGAAAGAGTGCCACCCACTGAATTGCCAGAATTACTTTCTCAGCACCTTGGGTTTTCCTTAGAGGTACCCACATATTGACAAAGCTTGACTGCTTCATTTGCAATCTAATGAGCTCAAAAAGCCCAAGGTGTTATTTCTGTAGGTGGCGTGTGTTCATTAAAAAAAATAATTTAAAAAAACCTGCCCAAGTTAACTTATCCTCAATGTACAACAAGGCACTGAGAATAAATAACCTTCCTTGCTACTTTCCTCATAAAAGAACCCCATTCGTTTACCTCTTATCTTCTGAAGAGAGCAATAGCCCATAATCCCCTTTCTCCTGGCAGACCACTTGCCTTCCACTTCCTGTTCAACTCACAGTGCCACCAGCACTACCTTCCAGCTGATCTCCACAACTGGACTACATGCTGGTTCATCCTTTACCCTCCGTCACCAGTGTCAGTGCAATTCATATCCTATCCCCATTTCAGCCCCTGGTTACGAAACCAGAAGGAAAAGGAGATCATTTGGAATGCAGGTTAAATGGATCCGGTTGGATTTCTGACAGTTGTCAGGCAGGGTAGATTTGAGACTTGCTCCATCCAGAGTCATGATGTCAGGATAGCCAGGTGTCACAAAGACATCTGTATGGACCGAAACAAGTATTTTTGTTTTGATTAACCATGGGCTTCACCTTACAGTGCCTGCCAACTGTATTCTTATGAGCTAGCAAGATTTTGAAATGATAAGAATTCTGTACTTGAGTGGAATAGCAAACATTGTTATCAGTAGGTCATTATTCACAGAAGATGGAATGCTACTCATTGTTACTTTCACTTTGTAGCATTAGTTTTTTCAACATTAGGGCATATTTAAAAATTTAAGGGCTATTCAACATTGGGACTAACAATTTTAACAATGCCCACCTCTTTGCTGACTTGTCATAAGTTTGCCAGTTGTGATGATAGTGGTCTCACATAGTGAGAAATAGACTTTGAAACTGGCAGTTCATTTCACATAGGGCACTGGCCAGCTAGCAGGTGGCAACAACCTTTGGATATTATCAGATTCAGCTGGATTTGAACCAGTGATCTAGTGATGAAAAAAATCAATATTCCGCATTCCATTCACTCAAGCCACCCAGTCCTCCCTGTAAAAATGTCTATTCAAGATAAAACTGGCATATGTAAAGTGAAATTTTAAAAAAGAGATTAGGAAAGCTGTCAGCCACAGCAAAAAATGTAGGGGAAGTGGTGGGCCACCCAGAGCAATGATGTTGGATTCCTCTTGGAAGGAAGAGCTTATATAAAAAGTCTACAATAATAATAATTTTTTTATTAAAAAAATTTGCTGACACTGGAGAACCAGAAAATCATTTGCAGGAGAAAGGATCATAAGTATTCCAGCAGGTGGGGATGATCCAGAGCCTATCAAGTTTATTGAAAGATTTTCCCCTTAATTATTTCTTTTGTAATGTTTAGAAAGGTCCAGTTTAAGTAAAGGGACAGGACTTCTAGGAGAGAAGACTGCCAGTAAAGACCCAACCAGACTCATGTGGAGGAACAGACTTCTCCCAGCTTTGGGAGAGAGACTGTATGGAGATGTAAATAATTTGTTCTTTTACTCTGAGTAACAGTGTAAACTCTAAAGTTCAAGAAAGAACTGTTGAATGAAACTAAATAGCTTTATGAAAAGAAAACATTAAGGCCCTAACA